CCTGCGCTCTGGGTCTGTTCAGGATCCCGCGGCCCTCGGTCGTCTAACTCACTCACCAGGCCTGCGCTCTGGGTCTGTTCAGGATCCCGCGGCCCCGGTCGTCTCACTCACTTGCCGGGCCTGCACTCTGGATCTATTGATAAACATTTTCTAAACTCATAAACCTACATAATTTTTAACAACATAGTTATACTGTATGGTACTGCAAAATCCTAAGATATAGCAAAAAATCTGTGGTGAATAATTTAGATTAGTATTTTTGAAAACCCATGAAACAGTCCATGAAAGTCAAACCACAAGATAGGAATGCTGTTGTCATTCTCTGAGACAGATCATATGTATATTTTTTCTTTGCTTTGGTTTTTTTTGGTTTTTTCTTTTTTTTTAATACCAGGGATCGAACTCAGGGCCTCAACCTACCAGGCAGGTGTTTTGCTACTGAGCTACATCCCCAGCCCTGAAAAGATAGTTTTAGGACCATTATTTTGAGGTTCAAAGCTCATCAAACCTTGGGATAGGCCATATTAGATTGTAAATAGAGAAGTCAAATAGAGCAGGGTTTGTCTAGCTCTTCAGAAAGATTTTGAAGTTAACAATGAGAGACTTTGACATACATGTGTAGCAGTAATGGCACAGGCAATTTGGAACTATCATGGTGTCTATAAGATTATTTGGAGGGGGACAGAGGAGACATACAATAAACATCATAAATAAGGAATTGTGTGGTATGTTAGAAGATGATAGGGAAGAAAGTGACAGTTTAAAAAGAGGGTTGAGGCTGAGCCTGGTGGCATACCAGCACTCAGGAGGCTGAGGGCAGAGGATTGCTGTGAGTTCGAGACTGGCTTGGGCTGCAAAGTGAGCTCAAGACCAGCCTGAACTGCATAATGAGACCCTGTTTCAAAAAGTCAAAAAATAAAATACAGATTCTCTAGAATTGGGGGTTATAGCTTTTACTAAGGTGGCCAAGTTAGGCCTCACTAAAAAGATAGTATTTAAATAAAGTGTTGAAAGAGGTGTGAAAACTAGGCATGTGGCTATGTGGGGGAACAGCTGGTGAACAGACTCTGGCATAAGGAAGGAACACAAAGAGGCCAGTGAGGTTGGAGCTGAGCCGGAGCAAAGAGTAGCAGGCAGTGTGGTCAGTGCGTAGGAGGCCACAGCAGTGTAAGTTATGAAGAGATCTGTAGGCTGCTGAAAGGCTTTCACCCTCAATGAAATGAGAAGTCACTATAGAGCAGAAGCCGTGTAACTAGTGTTTTTAAAAGATTCTTTTCAGTACTGTGTTAAGAATAATTGGTACAGACTAAGTATAGAAGCAGGGAGACTAGTTACAGGGCCTCTGCAACAGTCCAGGCAGAGATGAGGATGGTCTGCATCAGTGAGAGGGTGGTGCAAATAGTGATGTGTGGAAATGTACTGAGTTCAAAGTGTGAGAAATGAAAGGAATTAAGGACGAACCCAAGGATTTTGATATGATCAGCTGAAAAAATAAACTTAACATTAACTGATGGAAAAGTATACAAGTGGAACAAGCTTTAGGACATTGAGAGATCAGCTTTGGTTAAGTTTGATGTTTCAGTTATGAAAAAAATAGAATTATTTGGTAGGCACATATTTGAGGCTAGAGTTTAAGGGTACTGTCTGAGCTAGAGATAGGCATTTAGACCTGTTGGCACCTAGATTATATTTAAGAGCCTGAAACTGGGTGAGATGCCCAAAAGAGTAGATGAAATTAAGGTTCAAGATAGTGGTGAAGGCCAGGCATGGTGCACAAACCTGTAATCACAGTACTTGGGAAGCTGAGGCAGGAGGATTGACATGAGTTCAGGGCCAGTCAGGACTACAGAGTGAACTCAAGGTCAGCCTGAACTGCACAGCGAAATCCTGTCTCAAAAAAAAAAGTGTGAAATGTCTTAGAGGAGACAATGAACCAGCAAAGCAGCAAAGGTGACTGCAGCTGAGGTGCAGTACCTGACACTCACCAGCCAATGGAAGAAGGACTTCTTCTGGAAGATTCCTTCATAGTTTTAGTTCATAGCTGGCTGGCTCCCAGGCTAAAGGGCAGAGTGGGAAGGCCCACTGGGGAAGACAGCTGCTCATGACGCGGTGGCCAGGGAGGAGCTAGGAAGAGAGGCGTGCTCTTCCAGGTCAAGCCCCCACGACCCCACCTCCAGCTTGGTCCCTCCTAACACACCCAGC